TCTCCATCTTAGCCAGCTTGGTTTCTTTCCAGTATTTTATGGTGAACTTCATTTGTCAAACTGTTGAGCCTATCGTGCGCAGTATACCTGTTTGTATTTCCAAGATCTTAGGCTGCAGATGACTTTATTTTTCCCAGAATATTTCCCAGTCTGTCTTTTTCTTTTTTAAAGCTAGCGTAGAGTCTTTAGATATTCTGTGAGTCAGAGAGACTCTTTTCCCTAGAATAAGCCCTCCTTTGTACCACGTTGTGCAGGAGGAACAGAACAGTTGGACTCTGATTCCTGTGGTTGTCTGTCTGCATCTGCATGGCTGACTGCACTGTTCTCCCAGTGACAGGAACTCTTGGGGCTGGTTGCCACAGGTGAGGCTAAGGCATAGGAAGAATAGAAGGAGATACAGGGAGGGGAAAAGAGAGAGAAGGGCTGCGGAATAGCAGAGCGTGACCAACAACTGGCTCCATTTCTCCACCTCTTGATCATACTTGTATTGTGAACAATGACTAGTATGTTAGTAGTCACAGGTGAAGAATTTTAGGTCCTAAAGGGACCTAGATCACCTCATTCAAACTGTATAATTTATAAATAAGAAAATGCAATATATAGTGATAAAGTGACTCATTATCCAAGGTTATAAAGCTATGAATAGTACAACTGGGACTTAATCAGTTCTTTTGACTCCAAATCTAGTGTTTTATCTACTAATACAACTTCTAGTGGTTTGTTTGGATTCCTTCCCTCACCAAATATTTAGTGACCACCTTTTAGGTACAAATGATGTATGTTAAGTACGAAAGGCAAATCATGCATGTCCTCAAATTTAATGGTCAAGATAAGGAAATACTCTAATATTGGTAGTACTAGGATGTGTGTTAAATGAAGTAAGTGTTGGTACAAAAGATGTAGATTTTAAAAGCATATCAAGTTTTTTTTAACACTTATGTTTTATTACAAAAGTAATGCTTATTCACTATACGGGTTCTAGGCAATGGCAAAACAGTTAAACCACCCAAATCCCATCACCTAGAAAACATTTTTTCATGTATGTTTGTATGTGTATTTTAAATTACAAAAATAGAATTATTCTAAATATATTCTTTGATAACCTGATTGGTAACCTGGACAACCAGGCTGGGAGAGCTGAAGGTGGCTAGGCATTTTGAACACTGCCAGGTCATGCTACAGCTATAATTGGAGGTATGAATGAGCAAAGTTTAGGGGACATTTAGAGACTCAACTAGAATGGAGTTTGTGTTGGAATCTGAATCGTAGTAGTTGTGGATTAATGGTTCTTGGGTAGAAGGCAAACTATTGCCAGAATGGCAAGGCTTTTTTTTCCTTCCTGTGGCCATTGTTTGTTTTAAAGTTATTTCAATGGAAAAATTACCATTGGGATCCAAAAGCCAACGGTCTGGCTCTCCTATTTTAGCTAGAAATAGTGGTGAGCTGTAGGATGTAGAGACAAACTTCCTGATACCAGATAATGATGATCAATTTATTGAGGATCATTCTTTCTGGAGGGAATTCTGGTAGAGTTGAAAAAAGCAATGAATTGTAAGTTGAAAGTCTCTGATATGTAATGATCAGCTGATATTTTTTCCCCCCAACTTCTTGGGCTTTCAGGAACTTTTTTATTTGCTTCCTCTATTGGTTGCTTGCTTTTAAGTTTGACAACTTAATGTAAAATAGAGCTCTTCATAAGTTCTAAATAGCTATATAAATGTAGCATGGTATTAATACTGAGGGTAAAAACGAGGTTTTTGTTTTTCAGATGCAGGGTTTCTATATAGTGCATAGAATGTCTCTTAAAATAATATGTTGAAATATATGGAGTTTTCAAATGTAGATCGTATGAGGAACGTTTATTTCTCTTTATACATATACTTAGCCTCGGGTCTTGGATGCTGCTTTTAAAATCTAAAAGCTAGCTCATGGGTAAATAGACAGTTCTTGTAAGCATTAAAAAAAAAGTGAAATGTGCTTATGCGTTTTTTTAAAAAGTGCTTTTAGTTTTGAAATAAAAACTTACTGGAAATTTTTGGATATTGCTGTGTGGAAGATAATTTGCTTTACGTTGTTTCTGGGAAAAGACGTGTATGATGTAAAATAGGTAAAATGGCCAGTGATGCTCTTTTTAATAGATGTTTATCTTGTGAGATTCGACTTTGGACATTTTTTTCATTTTCCTTTGGGAATCTTCTAAATTTCAATGTTGCAGCCTGACTTAACCTTATGTAGCCTTTTATGTATACATTCTGTTAGCTGTAGTTTTAAAAGGTTTGCATATGGCCCCTTTGTGACTTAAGTCATGACTCATTCTTCCAGATTCTTCCTGGGTGCATGAATGGGTAGATGACATTGATATGGATGATATTATTCCTGCTTATGAGTCAGTCTGAAGACTAGAGATCTTCAGTGGATGCCTGTTTGATATCCTAGAGATTTCTCTTTACCCCTTTGCCACAGTTCTGGGCTGAATGGAGTTGGGGGCCTATGTGTTTCATCTCTCCCTTTCTGAATTTGGATATAGAAGGTTAAAATGGTTGGTTATCCTTCAACCCGCTGATCTCCCTCCTTCCTAGTTGTTCCTTTTTGGGCCACACAAAATCAGCCTTTTAACTTCTGAAGGTAACTGACTTCACCTCAAGAGTCTGGCTGCCTTGAGGGCATTTTGGTAAGTGCATTGCATAGAGGTCAGTGTTAATTGATCTCGGTCCTCTTTGACCCTTCACCTGTCCTTGGTGAGATCTTGGAGCTTCAGAAGTTGTGATGTCTCTTAGATATCTTGTCTGCTCAGGGTATCGCCTCACTACTTCATATACTAATAATTTCTGCCCTCAGAGATGGTTTAGTCCAACACTGCTTAGGGAGAATGCTTTAAATTCGTATTTCTTTATAGTAAATGAAGATGAAAGATTTGTCGTACTAGTCTGTATTAAAATACAATGAGGAAGGTATTTGGTACTAGTTTTTCAGTTATGAAAGATACTTAGTAAAAGGAATAAGTGTATGCTCAGCTGTACACTTTTCTCCTTGTTTAATACATGTGCGTTTAGAAAACCTAGAAAAAGCAAACAAGCATGAAGAAGACAAAACTATCCAGTGGACTCTCTCAAGTGCTGTCTTTTCCCCCAGGAAAACTTGACTCTCCCCTAACGTTTGTCTAATTCCTAATTTTTCTTTAGTTCTCAGCTCATAGATATCACTTCCTCCGGGCAGTTTTCTTGACTCGTAGACTACATTCATTAGAGCTCTCCTTTATGTGTTCTCATGGCTTCCTGTATGTCTGCTATAACACTCATACTACTGTATTGTTGTTACTGGTTTTAATATCTGTCCCTAATAGTCTGTAAGCTCTACGACAGCCAGAACTATGTCTCTTATCACTCTATTTCAGTGCCTGACATATAGTGGCCCCTTAACATTTTTTAAATTTGTAAACTTAAAGAGAAGTTTTAACACTTTTGATGTTTTATTTCATCCTGTTCTATGTGTCAGTGTACACAAAGATATACACACACACGCATATATGTACACTTCTGTAAAGGTATTACACTGGAGTTTCACCTTGTGTATAGGAGTGGAGTTTTGAAATCAACATGTGGAGTAGAAATTGCCCTTTAGTCTTTAGAGTACAGTACAATAAGTCAATAAAGTCAGTTTTTCCCTCCAGCATTCAATGATAGAATTCTACTTATGTGCAGTGGTATTCAGTCTCTATACAGAGGCATCCAAGGTCCTCCCAAAGCCGACTCTAATGTACCTTTCTAGCAATCTCGCCTGCTGTCTGCTTCTGTACCCCGGCTGCGGTTGAGTTTCTCCTGTCTTTAGTTTGCTCCCTGAGTTTGCCTTGCATTTTCTGGTTTCCACTCCTTTGTTCATGCCATTCTTCCCCTTTGGAATATCTTAGCTTTTTCCTTTCTGTCCATTTTCAAGGCCCTTCTCAAATTCCATCTGCTGTGATGTGTTTCTGTTTTTTTCTGGCTAACCCTGAGTGGTCTCTTCACTTGTGAGTTCATGGCATTTATTGCCTGTGGTTGGCCTTTGACACTAATTTACCATTTTGGGGATGTTCTCTTGAATCTCTTGCTTTTGTGTGTGTTTATCTTTTCTAGTCAACTAGATTGTTAGATCACTGAAGACAGGGATATTCATCTACTATTTCTTTGTGTTCCTCACAGTTTATGCCTGGCACAAAGTTTCTCAGTAAATAGTTTATTTGGTTAACTAAAAATTTGCCCCACATATTTTATAACATGAACTCGGAAGAGAGTGTTTTGAGATTACTTTTTCTTTTGTGTCTTTAAAAAATTTCCCACAAATACCCAATTCCATTCTGTTTTACTGCTTGCATGTAATAACTGACACTAAGGTATCAGGGAAATCTGTATGCAAGTAGCATAGGAAGCTTAAGTAACAATGGGTGCCTTGTAGCCCGCTTAAGTAAAACTTTCTGATGGTGCAGCATGAAATAAGATTTTGCTAGGTGAGGGAAGAGAAGTATGTGAATTTGAGGCAAGTTTTTCACGTAAGCAGAGATCTATTTCATAATTTATATTTCATATCATAGAACTGATGCCTCTAAGCATCATGCCTCTGTTATTCTCAAGGTACAAGTAAAATCCTCAGGAAGATGATTTGATTTCCTTAATGTATTGGTTGCCACGTTTATTAAATGACTCATTTTTTACAGCATTCTAGTGGCTTGAATGAGAAATTCTCCTTGCTATAGGTAGAGAGCTATTTAAGAATTTTTTTTAATTGATTAGTTTCTTACGATCTAGCCCTTCTATTGTGGTAAAGACTCAAAGTCACTAGGAATTATAGCTAGAGATGAAAATTTGAAAAAAGTGTTCAATTTTCTGTGGTCACAGAAGTTAAAAAAAAAAGATATTCCTAATATTTACTAATTAGATGAACTTGCTTCCATGTTCATCAAACTGTTAAAATGTAAAATGCAGATTGCACTGATGTGGAAGAGATTTTGCTTATTTTTTGTCTAGGTATAAGGAGGATGGTGAAGCTTTATTAATTTTGCTTCCCTCAGAAGAAAAAGCGATGGTGCAGCAGCTTCTCCAGAAGAAAGTGCCTGTGAAGGAGATCAAGTAAGAACTACTTGGTGTCTTGATGTTGTTAGGAAAATGAAGGCATGAAATTATTATGCTTGATTATGTATAACTAATTCCCTCTTCCCTCTAATCTATTCTACTGTCTGGTTTGTGAGTTTTTTAAATTTGTTTTTAACTTTTTCAGAAGACTGTTAGTGGAGAAAATAAGACGAAAAAGAGAACTTCTTAGCTTCAGGAAGCATTGATGATTGAAAGGATTAAACTTCTTGGATGAAATTATTTTTAGAGTTGTTTGTCCATTTCAGAGGATTGTGCTGTCCTGTCATTGAAGATATTTAGATTGGATCTCATCTTTTTGAGAGTCGCTTTTGAGTCGCACTTTTACAGGGGCCCTTGAAACGCTCCAGCTTTATTTGGAGGAAAATAATTTGGAGGGTGGTTAGATGGAGGGGAGGAGTGGGTAAGGGTTTAGATGAAACAAGATTGGCTATGAGTTGATAATTGTTGAGGCTGAGTAAAATTTTTCTGCTTTTTTATATTTTGAAATTCTCTATAATTAGAAAAAAAAAGTAAAAACCACTTCATCTACCACCACCTACCACCACTCCAGCTTTGCAGAAACAAAGTGGTTCAGTCTAAAATCGGGGAAACAAGTGGAGTTTCTTTTGGGAAACCTAGACCCTTGTAAGAATTTCATTCTTTCCTGTAGCCTACCTGGGCAGAGCTAAGTAACAGTTCTGTTATATTATGCCTAACTTCTAGATAAGGAAGATAATATTTATATCCCTTGGCTACTTGTTTATTATTTGAAATTGGTTTTGTGATATTTGACTGAAAATGGAAATATAAAAATGACATTAGATTTCATTCATTCCATTTCATTGATGATCCATCTCCCATGAGAGGCTGCATTTCTAACTTTATAGACTTAAGAAGTAACCAATGCTAAGTGTGGTGTTAACCTTAGTATCTTTCACTCAGAGTGGGATGTTTAAAGATGTCTGATCTTTCATTTCTTTTTCTTGCATTATTCATAAGACTCAAGAGAGTCAAATTTGTGTCTAGTGTAATTTCAGTCTGATCTGGCTCATAGAGAAATAATGTTACAGATTTTAAAAGACTGAGGAAAATAGGAAATGCTGTGTATTGTTTTCAGTTTCTAAAATTGAGATGTCTTAGTCTAACCTTTATCTTTTTGTTACAAAGAATCAATCCAGAAAAACTTATAGATGTCCAAAAAAAATTGGAATCATTTTTAGCTCAAGATCAAGATTTAAAAGAAAGAGCTCAAAGGGTAAGTCAGTCATTTTTGAATTGGATACCTTCATTGGAATGGAGCATATAATAAGGGTAAATTTCATCATTTTCTGCTACTTCTAGGTTGCATGGTTATGCTTCAGATATTCAAGTAGTACAATTTTCAGTTAAGTTTAGCTTATTCTTTGTTTTAAATTATACATTTCTTATAGTAACCCTGGGAAAATGTCTATTACTTGTCCATAATCTTGACAGACATATAGAAAATCCTCTTAAAGATGATTAAGTGCACAATGGTCTGATTTCTAGTATACTTGAAAAAGTTATCAACTTCTGATTTCTTCAGTAAATTTACTGTAACTCCTAATTGTAGTTTCTTGATTATAAGATTAGTATCTTCTTGTATTAGGTTAAATTTCTAGAAAGCAAAGCACTCTTGTTAAATTGTCTTTAGAGATGTAATTTTAATCTATAAATATGCCTTAATGTTCCCAAATTACTTTTCTGGACTTAGAAATCATCTTGATTTGCAAATGTGTAAACAAGTGTCACTTTTTTTTTTTTTTGGTGAGTAAGATTGGCCCTGAGCTAACATCTTTTGCCAATCTTCCTCTTTTTGCTTCAGGAAGAGTAGCCCTGAGCAAATGTCTGTGCTAGTCTTCCTTTATTTTGTATGTGGGACACTGCCACAGCATGGCATGATGAGCAGTGTGTAGGTCCATGCCTGGGATCCAAACCCACCAACCCCGGGCTGCTGAAGCAGAGCATGGGAACTTAACCACTATGCCACCAGGCCGGCCCAAGTGTCACTTTTAGTTAAACTTATTTTTTAGTTCTTAGAGTGCCCAGCAGTAGATGCTTTAGAAAAGGAAGATATGAAATTATTTTGCATTGTGCTTACAGCTATCCAATCTTTGAATTGACAAATATTCGAGTGCCTGTTATAAAGCTCTTCGTTTTCACCATTCTTTTATTTATATGGTAGTTACAAGATCTGCATACAATGTCTACATCTGCATTTCCCATAACGTATCAACAATGAGTAAGAGAGTAGGGATTCAGAGAGTGGATTCTATTTCAGCAGGTAGATGAAGTGGGAGGCAGAAAATAAAGAAGAGATATGGAAAGTGCATCTTAAGTAGAGAGAGGAGCCCGAGCAGAAAAACAGTCAACAGTCAGGCTTTTATGTTATGGTTTTGAAACTGGATATTCTCAGCAAAGAAGCTTTTTTTAAAGAGCACATCTTACATTTTTTTAAATTAACTTATATTTTATCAAATTATCTCTGTACTTAAAATAACAACATTAATGATGAAAGCTAAAATTTAAATGCTTACTATGTGCTGGGCACTTAGCTATGACATGACTCTGTTACTTGACAGTTTGATATGCGTTGTGTTATTTAATCTTCCCAACAACTCATAAGGTAGGTGATTCAGTTTTATAGATGAGTAAATGGTAGCTTGAGAAAATTAAAAATTGTCCAGGATCACATAGCTATTAAGTGGCAGACCTGAGAGTCAAATCCAGGTCTGACTTTCTTCAGAACTTCCATGACACATCAGGAAAAATTAATTCCAAAATATAAGAAAACCAAATAATGAACTATGCAAAGTTGGATTTCCACAATCTCACTTCACCTGAAATCTAATGAAAAGGGCCTTTAAACAAATTGGTTTTTTTTTCCTTAAAATTTTTGGGCATGTATTTGGGCATGCAGTTATTCTATGCGTGTTTTGTCTAGCAGACGTAGTTTAAGCTAGGAGTTAAATCTTTCTTTTAGAGGCTTTGGAAATAGTATGCACATTTTAAACTAACATACGAGAATTCCATTATGTTGTGACTTACTGCATACCTAGGAGGTCATTCAATTATGAATTGGGAAATATGAAATATTGGAAGAATGTTGTTGCACTGGTTTGTGCGTACAACAAATGAGCCTTCCAGAGCAAAGACTGTAGAATAGCACACTGAAATAAATGATGTGATTTATTGGGTGTCACGCATGGTTTAGCAGAATGTCTAACTGTGTTGCCAGCAGCAACAAGCTATCTAGTTTCATAGAAGTGATTTTCTAGCTTTTGATTATAATCTGGATAGAACAAAAATGATAAGCATCGGTGGTGATTTCTTGTGGACAATTGTAGAGGAAAAAATTATCCTTGAACTGGAACCAGTTGTTGTTTTTATGTCTATGGATGACAGAGAGAATGATTTGAAGATTAGTGTAAATGGTTTGAAGGAAGGATTAGTGTAAAGTTAGAGAAAATATGAAGTTCAGAAAATACAGAAATGGGAATTAAATATACTTTATAAAAATTTTAAAATAAAAAAATAAAAATGCTTGCTTAGATGTGTTTCATCATCTTTGTTTCCTGCTTATTTTACACGCTGACAAAGGGTCAGGGCCATGTTTACTTTCTGTATAGCTCTTGGCATAAGGATAGGTTTTTTTGTTTTTTAACACAAACAGAAGAAAAATATCACAAGTTGATGACAAATTACTTGAAATTGTAATGACGATGAATTACTTGAAATTATAATAAGAAAACGCTTTGGGAATACTTTTTCCTGTCATGATTTTATTAAGCTTAATTTAAAAACAATAAAACTTTATATGGTCGAAAAACTTTTTGACTACTACAATAATAATTATTACTAAAAACTAGTATTTATTGTATTCCGGAAGATATACCCATGTATTCTACGTGCATTTTCTCATTTAATTCTCATAACACTCTCAGTAGAAGGTGCCATTATCTCTGTTTGATAGATGAGGAAACTGACAGAGAAGCAAGAAACTTGCTCAGGTAGTAAGATGTGGAGCTGAGATTATCATCTATTTTATTCCAAAGCCTGTGTTTTTTCCCATGTGCCATATTGCATCTGAATGATATTAAGTTCTAGAGTAGCTTTTTGAGAAGGTGATATTCTATGTTGAGTTGGCTCAATGAAATGAAATTTAAAGTCTTTTCTAATATTATAGTTCTAAAAAGTTAGGTTTTTTGTTTTTGCAGAATGGAGATATGCTTAACTATTTTTGAGATTTTTCACTACTGTTGAATTTATTCCTTTGGTTAATTTCCTTTTATCTTGGTTTAAATTCATTTTCCATTTCTAACTATTATATGTTATACATTTAAACCTCCTATTTTCACAGTGTTTTGTCTCCTACATACGTTCAGTATATCTGATGAAGGATAAAGAAATATTTGATGTGAGCAAGTTACCTATACCTGAATATGCCCTGTAAGTATTCATATTATACTTTTAATTGTGAATCTTCAAAGTGAGAGGGAATTTGTTTGAAATGTGGTTTTCTGAGAGTCCTAGTTTAAACCAATTTACCTTACCTTAAGAGAATCTGTTCAAGATCTTCAGAGAAAATGATGCTATAAACTGTAGAAAACTAGTTTAGTGTTCCGTACTTGTCAGGAAGAAGTTTTCTACTTGTAAGTATAAATTCCTTAAAGTTACACTGGCAGTTTCCTATAGTTTGGTCTTAAAGGAAATGAAGAGCAGTTGATAAGCATTCTTTAATATCTTTAAATGTTTGTAGTCCTCCTGTTCTCTGAAACACTGGCCTGGATTACCACAGACAGTTCTTTTTTGTGCTTTGGATACAAGTCTCTTTGTCATTCTTCCCTTGTTTTAGATTGCTTTCCCGTACTGCTGATTGCCTGAATATTCTTTGTGTCTTGGTGTTTCTTACAGGTACTCACAGTTCCCATGGCAAAATGTCCCTGTTTAGTAATTGAGATTACTCTTATATGCAAATAGAACTCTTGGTCTTGTTTTGGCTTAGTATTTGGAGGATTTTTTTTTCTAATCTTTTCAACTGTAAAGGAGGGATGTCCATTTTCCAGTGGGGTCCTGCGTGTGGGGAGAGCATTGACAAAATCCTATAGAAGCACCCCTGAGGTTAATCATACTTTCAATGTCAGCATGAAATTTCCCAGTCTGTGATGAAATATGTACTTTCAACGCAAGGTCTGCATATTTGGCCTGTTCTCCAGGAATCTGAGTGCCTTCACCTTTAAGTTGAGTCTAATAAGAACTTGTATCTAGAGGAGCTGCTGTTTTCTATTCTTCACGTTAGATTATAAATTTAGTAGAATAGGTAATTTGTCAGTTGTAACATTTTAGAACCATTTAAATTGTTAGATAACAGAGTAAGGCCGCTGACTTTCTTTTTAGGTAATGGATAGAAGACCACATGCCATGGATAACATGTTTTTGTTCACTTATCTGTTTATGTACCAGTTACTAATTTTACTATTTCTCAATACAATTCATAGTTCAGGTTATTAGCTAATTTTCGTGCTCTGTGAAGAAGTTCTATCCTGGTTTTCTGATGGAGTTCGCTGAGATATTAGCAAACAGGAGAGGCACGGATCTTGAACGCTACAGGGCCATATTTAGTGGACATTTTGTTGCTGTAGATGACAGTAAATCTTGTCTGTTTACAGTGGAAGACCTTTGCTTTTTATTGGTGATGCTTATTTAGGAAGGCAGAAAATTAACTTCTGAGCTTAAATTGTTGGTATGGTTTAATTTGGTGCTTTTAGTTAATTTGTACATATTTAGGTGTATAATTTTCCTTGATCTGTAATTTCCTTTAGAAGCTTTTGATACTTAAAGCAGTGCTATGTATGTAGGCTATAATAAAGGTTTTTTAAATTATTTTACTAAAGAAACATGTTTTGAATACCTAATATGTACAGTTCATTGTGGTAAATGGTGAAATTATAGATGTACAGTATGTACTCCTACCTTAAAGGAGCTCCAGGTTTATTCTGAGAAAGACAGGTAAATGTAATTGTAATACGTTGAAAGAAATGCTCTCTGATAGATATGAGTTTGTGGTCCTAACCTGATCCCCCATTACAGTAATAATGATGAGTGCTCAGTAGTGGCTGCCTATGTGCCGAGACACTATTTTAAGTGCATTGCATCTATGAACTGATTTTATTCTTACAACAACCCTATGATGTAGGTACTCTTATCATGCCATTTTGCAAATGAGAGAACTGAGGTAGAGAGAGATTAAATAATGTCCTTCGATCACACAGCTAGTAGGTGACAGAGCCAGGATTCGAACCTCAACAGTCGTATTTCTGGATCTGCCTTTTACCACTGTAACTCTCAGTTTCTATGAATCATGTCTTATAGGAAAAAGGCGGTAGACTATGTTGTAATGTTAACTGTCCATTATAGCAGGCCTTGCTTTAAGAGTTTATTTTCAGTCCATCAGTGGGAACCTAGAAGCTGGGAAAGACCTGTTCATAAAATGAATCTTGATCTTAGGAGGAGAAAATCTTTTCTTTTTTTTGGTCTCTAGTTTAAAAATCCTTTTTAATAGAAGTGATTATGTCATGTGTCTCAGAAGGGAGGACAATGATACTTGAGTTTATTCTTTGCAGAGAACTGTGTTTTGTCCTTTCATGGCCATGTCTTTTCCAGCTTTGGTGTTTACATTTTACAGAGTATTTTCATATAGTTAGTACATCAGATCTTTACGACAACTGTGAGATAGGCCTGGTGTAGGTATTGTTATCCCCTGTTTGAAGAAGCTGAGGCAAGAGAGTTAAACTGGAAATAGACAGATTGAGTACTTGAACTGTTCCTTGTTTCTGGTCTCATGTTCTTTATTTTATACTATGTTAACCTCTTAATGCAAAACAAGGTATCTCCAATTTTTTTTTGACAGGTATTCAGTATTTTTTGGCTTGCCTTTTGGTTCATTTAACCAGTCAAGATTGAATTGTATCTCAGAGAAATGTTTTCTTAAAAAAAAAAAATAACAAAACTCTAAAAATAGATCTTAACTCTTGAGAAACTGTTTGATAATACCCATAAACACACCATCAGTATATTGAGATAACTATTGTCATTTGCCCATATTTAAGGTCTCTTGGTCTTGCTGTGGCACCACGGGTAAGATTTCTTCAGAAAATGCAGAAACAACCCACCAAAGAATTGGTAGTGATCGAAGATAATGAAGTAATTGGGCCAAGGGCTCCCTCCCTCACCAATGATGAAGTGGAAGAATTTAGAGCCTACTTCAATGAGAAAATGTCCATCCTTCAGAAAGGTGGGAACAGATCAGAAAGGACAGAGTACAGACTGGCTAATGGTATTAGTGCTGAAGAGGAAGACAAGGAAGATGAAGAAGAAATGGAAGAGAAACTGGGAAAAGCAAAAGGGTCTCAAACTCAGTCTGTCCCTAGCACTGAGTCACAGAAGAACAAGGAACTTCCTATGCAGTTCTTGGACAGAGATGATGAGGAGGAAGATGGACTTGATGCTGATTTCTTTAAGGTGAAGCGGCACAATGTGTTTGGGTTGGACCTTAAAGAGAATAAAATGTTACAGGTAAGTTTACTCCCAGTGGAGGGTTCTTCTGTTATTTCCCACTGCCTCGTACTGTGTGCTGCTTGTTGCCTTTGGGGAACTATGGGAAAGTAAGAACTAGGAGAAATTTATAGAATGATTTTCTTTGCAGTGAACTCTTTCTCCTTCTCCATAATTAAAGATGGAATAGGTGCCAAAGAATTCTCATTTTTCATAACTTGGAGAACTCTAGGAGGTTGACAACTTTAACCTTATTTACTGGTTTTCTGATGCATGTTTTAAAAGTAGCCAGGTTGGATCATCTAACCTGTCACGATTGAATTGTATCTCAGAGGAATGTTTTCTTAAAAAAAAAAAAAAAAAAACCTCTAAAAACAGATCCTAACTTTTGAGAAACTGTTTCATAATACCCATAAACACACCATCAGTGTATTGAGATAACTATTTTCATTTGCCCGTATTTAAGGTCTCTTGGTCTTGCTGTGGCAAAGGATTATAACATTAAGGAATGTGATGGGGTTCTATGGTTTATGGTGTGAGGATCCCTCATTGTGATTCTTAACAAACTACTTTCTGATTTAAATCATTGCAAATGTTCCTTACAACAATCTAATCTCTCCAAACACGAATTTTACTTTTAATAAGGTATTTGCTTTTGGCCACCAATCCAGTATCTTAAATAGAAAGCCAGTACTTTGTTTTTAAAGGTCACTTACGAAGGTTTGTTAAAAGTTTCATGTAGATCCTTTGTTTCTCTGTAGGTACCTGGTAGGAGGAACAAAAGAGGTAATCCAGATCAAGCACCTGTTTTCTGGGGTTTTAGTAGATGCAAAGTAAATGTTTCTCCTTTCTTTCCCTATTTTCCCTTATTTTCCTCTTTCCTTATATGCCTTTATTCTTGATCATTTCTTTAAAGAGAATCAAATGAAAAATGAAGCCAAACTCTTATTCTTTACACAATGTTTAATAAGATTCTAAGACTCACAGTAGGAAATATTAAATTTTGAACCGTGAAACCTGGATAGGTGTTTCTTTAAGTAACTAAATATAAATTTTGGAAAGGTGGCAGACATACTTATTGAGTACTTAATATATATTAGGCATTTTCTAAACATTATCTCATTTGGTCCTTGAATAACGCTATGAGGTAGGTACTATCATTGTATAGGTAAGGGGAAAAAAACTGAGACAGACAATAAAATAGTGAGGTGCACAACTTGGTACTGACAGTGTTGCAATTTGAACCTAGGTATTTTGACTTTAATATCCATGTTCTTGACCAATAATCTGGTTTTTGAAATCTGATTTATCACTTTCTTTTGTAATCGATATTCAATTTCGTGTCGTATCTGATAAATCTGTGGTTAACCCAACGTCACAAAGGTTTTCTCATGTTTTCTTCTAGAGGTTTTATAGTTTTAGCACTCAAATTTAGGCTAGGATTCATTTCAACTTAATTTTTATGTATGGTATGAGGTAAGGGTTGACGTTCTTTTTTTTTCGTTATGTATGTCCAATTGAATCAGTACCATTTGTTAAATACTGTGCTTTTTCCCTTCAGTTACCTTCACCCTTTTTTGCACGTTAATTGACCATGTATGTGTAGGTCTCTTTGTTGACTCAGTTTCCTCTCTAAAGCTATCCTTGCACCAATAACACCTGTCTTGATTAGTGTAACTGTATAGTAAATCTCAAATCAGGCGGTGTGAGTCTTCCAACTTGGTATTTAAAAAAATTGTTTTGGCTATTTTGGACCATAGCATTTCCGTATAAGTTTTTGAATCAGCTGGTTACTTTGTACAGAAAACCAGCTGGTATCCTCATTGAGCTTGCACTGAATCTATAAATCTGTTTGGGGAGAATTGACATCTTAATTGAGTCTTTTGATTCATGAATATATCTTTTCCTTTGTTGAGGCCTTCTTTAATGTCTTTTAGCATTGTTTTGTAATTTTAAGCATGCATATCGTTCACATATTTTGGTAGACTTATCTCTTACTATTTCATAGTTTTCAATGCTGTTATAAATGGTACTTTTAAAATTTCAATTTCCAATTTTTTGCCTGTATATAGAAATACAATTTATTTTTTTATACCAGTCATTCTATTCTGACCTATTAGTTCTGGTGGCTATTTTTGGAGATTCTTTGAGATTTTCTCTGTAGATGGTCATGGTGTTTGTGAATAAAGAGGGTTTCATTTCTTGCTTTCCAATCTGTGTGCCTTTTATTTCATTTTCTTACTTGATTACACTGTGTGTTGAATAGCAGTGGTGAGAGTGGATGTTGTTGTCTTGTTCCTGATCTTAGGGAGGGGAAATATTCGGTCTTTTACCATTACATCTGATATTAGCTATAGGTTTTTTGTAAATGTTTTTATCAGGTTGAGAAAGTTGTATTCTATTCCTAGCTGCTTTAGTGTTTTTATCAGAAATGGATGGTGAATTTTGTCAGATGCCTTTTCTGCTGTTGTTAAGGTAAACATATAGTTGTCCTGTCGATAGATTGATTTTCTTATGTTGAACCAACCTTAAATTCCTGTGATAAACTTCACTTACTCATAATGTGGTTTCCATTATCTATTGCAGGATTCCACTTGCTAATATTTTGTTAAGGATCTTTACTTCTCTGTTCATGAGGGATATTGGCTTGTAGTTTTCTTGTAATGACGTTTTAAAAAGCTGAACATGACACATTTTAAAAGCTTTTGATACGTTTTGCCAAACTATCCTACAGAGAGGTCATATTGATCGTTATCCCCCTGGCTTTGTATGTCAGTGCCTGTTTACTCACACCAACACTAAATATTAACGTGTTTTTAGTGTTTTGAAAAAACAATTAGTGAGAAATGTTGTCTTACTGTTCGAATTCATCTTTTTTTGGATTCTCTTGGGCATAATTCATTTATTTCAGTTGTATAATTTTTCTGTATGTGTATTGCTTATGTTTTTTCCCTCTTTTTTTCCTGTTACGATACTGGTCTCATTCCTGTTAACTTCCAAGATGTCCTTAAACGTTAGTTACTGTCCCTGGCTTTTAACTTTTTTTTTTATAGCCCCTGTCACACAAAATTATTTGTCTGCCTTCCCTACTGGATTCTGAATTCCTTGAGATTAATGTCTTCCTGACTAGTATGTGTTCAGGGCCTGGTACAGTGTCGAGCTCCTGTTGCAGATTTCACAAGTGTTTCATGAATGAATGAGTGAATTACTGCATTTATTCTTTCACTTTGATAGTTTTGTTTGCTGTGAATTATATAGAATTCATATATGTAGGTTTATTCTTGGAAACCTGTTTTGAAACTATGTAAGATATACCTGATTGACTTATAGTGATTCAAAAGGTATTCTTGAACTTTCTATAAACATGAACATAAATAAAATAACTTATTTATTTGATTCTAAATGATATACCTGTGTAGGCCAAGCTTTGTAATTTAGATAGTAAATGAGAGTATCTAATGGTAATGATGTAAAATTCTAACTAAGAGTACGTTTGCATGGTATACTATAAAAGTTCTTTCTTTAAAATACCTGCATAATTTTTTTACTATAATAAATTGGAAGTATTATGGCATATATATCAAATGTGAGGAACATTTTGGGGCAGTTAGTAGGATTTTGAGATGCTGATAAAGGAATGTTTTTCCCTTTCTTCCTGCACATTACCTAGTACTATTCACAAACAGTAGAGTTGAAACTCTTGGTTCTTTAGCTGAAATAGGAAGGCTTACTGCCTTTATTTATTTAGTCTTGTCGACTTTACCTGTTATCTGCCTTTGAGTTTTCAGAATCAACACTGACTTGCAAAAAGATTATCATCTTTTTGATTCTTTATCATGTTTTCAAGGCATTTGGTTTTGAGTGTGCTTTTGCATCCACAATCTCAGTTGGCTTTCCATTTTAGCTTTTGTTCTTGCGTTTTATATTTAGTATTGTATTGTAGCCATCAACACTGGAGGCTTTTTCTTTATCACTTATTTTTAAGGATAGACCTGATAAAGTAAAGAAAATCAAACCATACACAAAATGGGACATAATACTATTATTTACACACATAAATGAGTGTATTCCCCTTGGAAGACTAAGTACTTTTTCAGACACAGCTAGCTTTGTTCAAATATTTTTGTTGCTCCTGTTTCTGAATTGTCTTTATGGACAATATACCAGACACACAAGAGAACGGATTTCGTTACTTATATCACAGGCTATTCTCTTTGCCTTGATTATCTTTTTCTTCCTTTCTTGCCCCTTTGGAAAAGGAAGAAGATTTGTCCAACTCGGTTGAGGCTTGGAGCCCATGGGAGCACATTGGGTTGCAGATCACATGGAATTTGTTTAATAATCATATTGTCATCAATAAAATATTAATTTGGTATTTTATCATATACCAAATACTTTCCTTGTAAGTTCTCATTTTATCCTCATGACAGGAAAGGCAGATGATATTATTTAAAATTTCACAGAGGCTTTTAAATGACTTTTCCAAAGTCACGGTGGTGGAGTTAGTGCTCAAATCTCTCTCCGATGCCATCACATTCTTTCTACCTAATCCTGTTGCCTTCTGTAATTTGTGTGTCGTTTACTTTCTGTCAGTGGGTAATGTCAGTGTAATTGACAGCACTGTAGATAATTTTGGGTTATCTATTCTACGCAGATAGTTGAAATATAGAATTGATATATTTACCTTTTTAGACTTGGGCATGAATGGACATGTACTGAGCACCAGGTGCAAGTGATATCTTCCCTAAGACTGCCTTGTCACAGTCGTTTTCTATTTGATAGGATCAAGGCATTGACAGAGAAACAGATTTCCTTAGCAATGGAAAGTGAGTCATGAGTAGAGCAATAAGAGAAGGAGAGGAGAGAGCCCACCTATGGTGATCGGGCACTAAAGCAATAAGTGAAGTTTGGTTGACCTCCCACCACAGGGAAGAGACTTTTGTTTTGGCTAGTTTTATTGGCTGTTGGGTGTCTAGAAAGTTGACCTCCAGGGAAACAGTGTTAGACAAGAACGTGAATAT